GATGCCCCGACCACGTGGTCCTAAATGACACTAAGAGCCGGGCTGCGATGCGGCTCTGCTCACGGGGACCGAGACCACGCCCACTGGTGCGAGGGCCACGCCTTGCAGAGCGCAGTCTCCTTTCGCTCCACTCACAGCAGGTGTGTGGTTTAGCTTCATGCTAACACTGAGCGGTCCCTCCTTCTTCTTCCCTGTTTCCTTTTTCCAGCTACAAGTGCGTATGTTTATCGGAGGCAGAGGGCTGTGGCTGGCAGGGGGGATAAAGCTGGGACGGGGAGGGCATCTGTTTTGACCCTTCTTGCTTCAAAGTCTGGAGCTGGCTCGGTGAGGATTTACGGGCCCTTTGCCGCCCACATCCTGGTCCTTCAGGCTCCATCCTCCCGGATCCCGTTCTGTGTGCGGAACAACCCCTCATGTATATGTAGCAGTATATGTAGCACCGTTGGTTTGCAAAGTACTTCTGTGCTGGTTCCTTCCTTTGATCCTCACAACCTCGCGTCACAGGGGAGGAAACTGAGGCAGGGACGAGGCGATGTGCAACTAGTCCTCGGTGGAGCTGCGGCATCGCTCCTCCGCCCGTCCCCGCACTCACGAGGCTCTGCTTGCCCACGCGCTGGGACCGCCTTCCGGCCAGTGCTCAGCGCTCCGTGCAAGCTGGCCGCTCTCCGAGGGGCGGCTGCGCTCTGCCTGCCCTCCCTCTCTGCCCAGCAGGCGCCGAGCTAGGGCTTATCGGGTTGTTCCTGTCCGTTGGCAAGGGGAGTGACGGAACCCTCATCTCCAGGGTCTCACCGGGGCTCTCAGAGGCTCACCTTCTTCAGTCTGAGCAATCATCCTCCGGAGGCCTAGCCGAGTGGGTTAAGGAGACCCCAGGGAAAAATTCAGCCAGGCCCGGCCTGTGCACTCAGCCACCACACTGAAACTGGGGTGCTGGTTCTGCCAGAGATCGGAGCTGTCCTGCTGTGGCAGGGGGGACATCACATGGGAGGAAAGCTCAGTCACCCTGGCCCTGCCCCTGGCCCCTCCACTCTTGGGAAGGAGCAAACTGGCCCAGGGGTGGGAGCAAATAGAATGACGACGCTGTGGTGTTCGGGGTCACCCCCTCCTCACAGCTGTGCTCCCTGCAACATGGGCAGGGATCACGCTCCTGTGTTCACTGCAGAACCGACCCGCTGCCCAAGGTCACACCAGGGATGACTTCCATGCCTCGTTAGGCACATCCCTAGGAGCCATTGTCTGGGAACCCTCACACACATTCACCGTAGCCTTGGTCGCTCCTGCTCACTGGCTGCTCCCCACCCACCTTGGCAACTTGTGAATCTGCCGTTCCACCGAGATGGAGGTCCGCAGCGTGCCCATGGAGCTCTCCACCAGGCTGGGCTGCGCCATGCAGCCCCCCTTCTGGCACAGTCGCTGGTACACCTCCCGGGATTTCTTGCGGAAGCGCTTGCCCACGATGGCGTACACCAGTGGGTTGAGGCAGCTGTTGCTGTAGGCCACGTAGCTAGAGATCTGCGTGAAGACGTCAACGACATGCTCGTCCCAGCAGCTGGAGAGGACACCCAGGCGCAGCAGCGTGTCCAGGAAGGTGCTGATCTGGAAGGGCAGCCAGCAGATGACGAACAGCAACAGCACGGCCAGGACCAGCACGGTGGCCTTCCTCTCTGTCTGGATCTCCTTGAACTTCTGCATCTCGTTGTTGCGAAGCACCTGCATGATCTGCACCGTGCAGAAGGTGATGATGCTCAGGGGCAGGAGGAAGCCCACGAAATTCAGGAGCATGTTGGTGAACACCTCCCAGGTGCGGGACGGGTAGATGATGACGCAGGCGGTGACGTTGTGGCCCTCGTCTGTGTAGTGCCTCATGGTCCGGAAGGCCAGCATGGGGGAGCTCAGGAGCAGTGCGCACCCCCAGATCACCAGGCTGTAGAGTTTGGCCCAGCGCACGCCGCGCATCCGGCCCACGGACATGGTCTTCACCAGGGCCAGGTAGCGGTCGATGCTCACCAGCATCAGGAAGCAGATGCTGCTGTACAGATTCATGTAGGCCATGGTGTTCACCACGCGGCACAGGGCCTCCCCGAAGAGCCAGTCGAAGTTGTTGGCCATGGTGATGGCATAGAAGGGCAGCCCGCAGGCCAAGATCAGGTCGGCCACGGCCAGGTTGCCCAGGTAGATCTCTGCCACCGTGCACCTGCTCTTGTGCAGGCAGAAGACGCTGAGGACGAAGATGTTCTCGATCACCGCCAGCATGAACAGGACCCAGAGGAAGGGGGCCTGGATGGTGTTGAGCCAGCCCCACAGCTCGGGGTGCGAGCAGCTGCTGCCCTGGCCCGGGGTGCCGTTGACAGCAGACAGAAGGACTTGTGAGGTGCTGTTGAGCATTTCAGCGCTGAAAGAAAGTGGAAAAGAGGCGGTTACACCTCAAGATCGCAAAAGGAAGGAGAAACAGTGGATGCAGAAGGAGAGGGGCAATCGGCGAACAGCTCCCAGAAGGCGAAGCCTGGGTGGAACTTGGGCCCCTTCTGCGGCCGGCCGTGCTCAGAGACTCCGTTCGGCGCACCTGACTCCCCCGCGCCTTGGGGAGGCGCCTCTGCTCCGTGGGCCTAAAGGCACCGCTCCTGTTCTCTCTTGGCTCCACCGGGGTGTTTCCTTGGCCAGCGTCCATCTCCAGAACTAACAAGCGCGAGCCTTGGACCCTGGACCTCCTCGAAGCTTCCACGGTGGGAGGATACATAGTGCATTCCTTCCTTATCGCGTGGGCCCTTCCCAAAGGAGCGGGTCATCTTCCAGCCTCTCATGCACTGGCCGTAGGTAATTAATTTATTAGGACGGAACAAGGACATCGTGCCAAACAGAGATTCCAGCCTGGCTGGGAGACCGCGGCCCTTTCCCCCACGCCCTTGCTCCTTCTGGCAGAGGGGCGCATCGGGCTGTGCCCTCCGTCAGCAGAGCCTTGAGTGACCAGCGGTTACCTGATGGGGGGGGCAGGGTTTGGGAGCTGGACTGTCCTCCTGGGTTCAAATCCTGGCTCATGCATTAGCTGTGCGACCTTGAAGAAGTTAATTAACCTCTCTGAACCGCAATGACCCACCTTGTAAAAATAGGAATAACAAAATCTACGCCTCAGGCTTGTGGCGAGGCGCTAAGGCAATGAGCACAAAGCCCCAAGCACTGCACTTGGTTCAGCAGAACATTAACAGTTATTCCTTTTGTCGCGAAGCTGTTAAAACAACCCGTGTTACACTCGAACACCACTGTTCGCATGTTCTTGCTCCAGCGCTGAGCCGTGGCTCCTTCTCTCACCCGTGGGTAAGACGCAGCAGGCGGGCAGTTCACTTTCTAGAAGTGCCGCTGCTGGGGCTGAGTCACCTCTGCCTTCGGCACAACGGCCTGGGTTTGCTTCAAAAGACATGGGTTCCAGCCCTGGCTGTGTGGCCTTGGGCACATTGCTCGACCTTTCTGAGCTCCCATTTTGTTTCCTTTGCCTTGCATGGCTGTTGCAAGATCCCAATGGAAGAGTGGGTATGAAGACACACAGAAAAGCTTCCAACAGCTTGGGCAGGACGAATTAGGCATTTCCCTAGCGCTGGGTGGTGTGGGGGAGGGAAGGTGGAGGGATAGGGGCATTTCCTGGGCAGTGGATTGTTGGCAGGCTCAGGGGCAGGAATGGAGCCGCACGTCCTGGGAAGGAACTTGCTGATTGCTCTGGGATTTCCCAGGAAAAGCCCCTGTTCCTGGAGCGGCTGGCGTCTTTGAGGGGCCAGGCTGCGGACCTGTGGCTGACGTGCATCAACGTGTCTACCCTGTGCATGAGTCTGGAGTGTCTTCTCTGTGCTAAGTTCCACCCGGGCTGGACCCAGAGGGGACACCAGTGTCCCCTGTCCTGGCTGTGGCCCACGATCTGATGAGTGCCAGGGGTAGGACGAGGGGCGTGGGACACGGCCTTGGGGGAGGGGGAGGGGGAGGAGGGGAGATGCGCCTCTGCAGCTGGGTCTCCAGGGATGCGGAGACCAGACAGAGAGGACAGACCAGGCAGAGGCGCAGAAGTGGGGAGCCGCTGGTGTGTTCCGGAAGGTGGACGAGATGTTAGAGGTGGGAAGGGGCAAGAGAGCAGCTGCACAGGGGTGAAGGACAGTCACCACCGGTGCTGAGCAAGTGAGATTCGCCCCCGAGGGCTTTAAGAAGTGAGTGACGGGCAGGAAATATGCTCTGGAAGATTCTTCTGGGGCATTTCATATGTCCAGAAATTCGCTAGGCCTCCTTCAGAAAGTGGTCTCTTCCTCTTTCAGTGAGCACGTTGCTCCCAGCCCGGTGGCGGAGGCCATGACAGAGCGTGACATCGAGACTGGGTCAGAAAAGGCATTGCAGCTGCCTCCTCGGACCGTTGGGTTGTTCACTCTGGGGACACCAGCCACCGCACTGTCCTCACACACGGCCTCCTGGGGGAACCAGCTGGCCACCTGCGTACATTCGGGTCCCCAGTCATTAGTCTTCCTGCCGAGGCCCAGACATCATGGAGCAGGCTGGGCCCCGCTCCCCTTTGTCCCCTCAGGACTGACCTTCCCCTTTCCCTCCTTCTACTTGGGACAAATGCCCCCACATTCTCTCTCGAGTGCCCTGGCCTTCCAACAGATGTCAGCCACGTGTGGGGACATCTGTCTCCAGGGCCACCTGCAGCACCTCTGTGTGATTCTTTGGGTGCTGATTTCGGAGTGTCACTGTCTTCATGTCCAAGCGCATCCAGGACGGCTCACGTCCGCCCCCGGACAGTGCCTCTTCCTGCACCGCCTTCCCACACCCACAGAACCGCCCACTGCCTCTGCCCCTCAGGCCTCGGGCGTTGGAGCGCGGGCCTCAGCAGCCCTCGGAGCTGCTGTCTTGCACTTAACATTGCCTTGTTGCTTCAACTGCTGCCCAGGAGGCGAGGATGCCCTGTCCTGGGTGTTCTCAGGGTGTACCGCCCCCCAAACATGGTAAACTGAGGGATGTCTTTGACGCACCTGACGGAGGCCGTGGTGGGTAGCAGGTCTTCATGATCAGACAGGTAATTTGGTCTCCTCCAGGCCGAGAACATCTGGACTCAGAACGGGCGTGAGGCAGGCCTCACCTGTGCTGCACGAAAGAGAAAGCGGGTCAGATGGCCGGCGGGGGAGCGGAAAACAGAGGCCAGGGAAACGGAGCCTTTCACCCGGCGCGCTGGGGACACAGGGACGAGGACGGGCACAGCCTCTGCCCTCCAGGAGCTTGTTTAGTGGAGAAGCCAGATTGTACTCAGATAGTCATCAAATAATTGAACACGATGTAAGTGCCATGAAACAGAACACAAAGTCCCACGACAGACATGACACGGGGCCTAGAGCAGCCTGGGGCAGGGGGTGAGTGGACATTTGTCACGAGACCTGAGGGCGAGCAGGAGTGAACTGGGTGAAGCAGGGTGGTGGAGAGGGGGATGTCTGGGCAGAGGAGGAGCAGAAGCAAAGGCCCTGAGGCAGGAAGAAGCTGGGTGTGAATGTGTTAGGCCCCGGTGGCTGCTGGGGTGGGGGGCTGGGATGTGGTGGGTGGAGTCGGGGAGCAGAGTGGAAGCAGGACACTGGTTAGGGGTGTGCCCACTGGGTTCCGCAAGGGATGGGGAGCCTGGGGAGGATGGGCTCCAGAGCTGCTCAGAGACTCCAACTGACGTGTCCGGTGCAAGGATGGAAGTGAAGGGGTCGGGGTGAGGGTGAGGAAGGGCCAAGGACTCCCCACCCCAGGTGCTGCCATCCCGTGAAGGGAAGAAGGGGTGGGCTGGCTTGGAGAAACTGCATCACTGCTGAGATTTGCACCTGTTCACCTTGAGGGCTCTGTGACGGCAGGTGTGGGTGTGAGCAGCCGCGGGCCCAGCGTGGGTCTGGAGCTCAGGGCAGGGCTCTGGGCGTGAGGACGGCTCGCCTTGACCTGATGGACACGAAGTAGGACGGCAAGGAGCTTAGAGCCCGATGAGCGACGGGACGGGTGAGCCTGTGCAACCCTGTGGCTGCCGCCCCACGCGCCTCGGGTGCGGAGCCGGCCTCGCCTATGTCTCCGGGGGGAAAGGTGTAAGCCCAGTGGGGTTTCCGCGGACAGAGCCTTTCCCTGGCCTCCGCACTGGCACCTGCGCTGTCCAGGGAGGCGGCGTGGCCGTGAGCTTGCCTTACGAGGGGCAAGTGGGGTGGGTGACCTGTCCCAGAGGGGAGAGTCCTTCCAGACCTGGAAGTGGGGCTTAAACATCCCCCCACCCCCCACCCCTCTGGTGCCAGACTTGGAGCTCGCTCCAGGATCCTACGGACCTCTCGCCCCGGCCTGGAAGGTGTGCACAGCTGGGCGCGTGAGTGCCGGTGCGTGAGGACGTGGTGCAGCCCGATCGCCCACCCCGATCGCCCACCCTGATCGCCCACCCCGATCGCCCACCCTGCCTTCAGCCACTCAGCAGGAGCCGGCAAACCCGCCAGGCTCCCAGAGGCCCAGCTGTCCTAACGCGCGCATGGGAGGTGCAGATAAGGCCGTGGAAATTTGTTCAGGAAATTGGAACCCATTAGGGAAAGAAAAGCCCGACTTGGTAAGCAGGAAACATGGGGAACACTTTCAAAATCACAGGAGCCCCCAGCAGAGCTGAGGTCGGGATTCAGAACCTGCGGGATGGGGAGGGATGGAAGGAGCAGCTGAGCCCTCTGATCCTTCAGGGGGGGCTCTGGGGAGGGGGAGAAAGACCTGCAGACTGCCTTTCTGCGGGGCCCTTCCTGCCCCATGGAGAGAAAATTCAGTTGGGGGTCATGTGTTCGAATCATTCATTTCTCAACAGCCGTTATTGAGTGCGTTTGGGTGCTGAGATTCGGGGGGGAAGAGAGGAGTCAAGCTTCCCGGCCCCCAGGGGGCTCCTCTCTGGTCGAGGGCCCTCAGCCTGCCGGCAGCTTCTCCCATTTCCTCCCGGCCAGTGACAGCGGTACCGGTACCGGTGACTCGGCCTCCCAGCTTGGCCAGGAGCCCAATGTCTCCTCGCTGAGTGCCTGGCTGGGTCTGCCCGGCTGGGTGCTCCCAGACCTGGCCTAATCAGCCTAGCTGGATCCCAATTGCTTGCTAATGGCTGTAAACATTGCTCTCATTTTCAAAACAAAGCTGAGGGCCCTTATCTCTCCAGATGTCCAGAGACCAGGAGGCGTCAGGCCCTCCAGAAGTGGAATCTGGGCCGTCTACCTGTTTCTCTGCATCAGCTTCGGAGGCCTGTGGGTGCCTGCTCTGGGGAGGATCTCGGTGTGGAGCTGCTGAGGTGCTCCAGGGCCCCCTCCCTGCGCACCCCTGCAGGGACCACACTGGGCTCTGCCTTCTGGCTGCCGTAGGGTTTGGCCTGCGGGGGCTCCAGTAGGAGGCTGAGGGCGGGAGGGGGGACAGGAGGGGCGTGGCTCTCAGCTCCCTCCCAGGGAGCCTCCAGGACTGGCTACCAGGGGTCCTGTGGAGGCTGGAAACTGCCACCCCTCTCGCTAGCTCGAGCCTCTAGCAGGGCGGGAGAGTGGAGCGGGGCCTTTGCTGTGCCGGCTGGGGGTGCCCCGCGAGCTGCCTGTGCCCTGTCAACAGACCCTCTAACATCCTCTTCGAATTACCCAGTTTGAATGTGCCCTCCCTTTCCTCCTGGGACCCTGACTAACGTACCCTGGGATTACACAATCAGATGTCAGAGTATTATTCAGGGGCTTTGAGGGGGGAGCGTGGCGTGGCGTGGTGGGCACGTGGGCACCGGGCGGTGTGGTGGTCAGGGGTGCAGCACTGTGTGCGTGAGTAAGTCCCTTTGTCCCCGGGCCTGGTTGTCCACCGAGCCGGGATGGGCCCCTGCCCCCACACGCTCTGGTCGTCACAGCGGCGGGGTCGGGGTGGGGGGGTAAGGTGATGACTCTGAGCTGGTCTTCCCCTCATTTTTCAAACCGATGCTTTGGAAGGAACACAACATTCCGACTGACTCGTACACTGCCGTCCCGGGTCCTGTCCAAGAGGACTTACTTCACATGTTTCCCTCCTGGCTCACGTCAACACTGGACCTCGGAGCTGTCGGGAGTAAATTCCACTTCAGGCTGAGCCGGCGCTCACTGTACTTTCAGACCAAGACCCACGTCCGAGGGGCTCGGGCTGTGGCCACCACAGACGACCGCAGCCGCTGCTCGGCCCGGCTCACCTCGTATGGAGCACCCGACCTTGCAGCCACGGCCGGCCTTGTGCTTTGTGGCTGCATGTTCGAGCCCTGGGCTACTTCTCAAAGTGGGGGTTGTGGACTGGAGCCCCATTGTTAGTCTCAGGGGGCTGGCATGTCTCCGACACCTCTCTGGTATCTGTGATTTCCCAGCAATGAGCAGGTCCCTGCCTGGGCTGGCCCCCCAAATCTAGTCCTACCTTATTGCGTTGTTTATAGTCAATGCTAAATACAACAGTCTATTGTATTTTTTGTTGTTGTTGTTAATCCTCACCTGAGGATAATTTTTTCCGTTGAATTTTAGAGAGAGTGGAAGTGGGGGAGGGAGGGAGAAAGAGAAACATGTGACATGTGAGACACAGCCCGAGGCAGAGTGGGGGACACACCCCGAGGCAGAGTGGGGGACACAGCCCGAGGCAGAGAGTGGGGGACACACCCCAAGGCAGAGTGGGGGACACAGCCCAAGGCAGAGTGGGGGACACACCCTGAGGCATTTCCTGGAAACATGTGTCACAAACCGAGGCCCAGCCTTACGGGCTCAGAAGCCAGACCAGGAACTGAGACCCCTTCTCTATCCCACTTCTATTTGGGGGTTAGTGTGAAAATAGCCCCCACCTCCCAGGGCCGCTGCGGGGCCCAGATGATCAGTGGTGTCACCTGCATGAAGCACGTGGTGACCGTGCTCCAGGACATGCGCCGCTCTTCCAGCCCCACCCGAGGGGGCCCGTCCGCTTCGGCCACACCTGCGTGGGTTTAGGGGGAGTCCCTTCCACGTGGCCTGCCCTCCCGCTCACACACCCGCTAAGGTTTCCAGACAGTGTTTTCGCAGCTGCATGGAGAGACACACGTGTCTCTGGGACACCCTTGCCCCGCCAATCCAGGGGAGCCCCTGAGATCACCCCGTTCCATCCTCAGGCCCCGGGTGGGTGTGCTCCTTGTGCCGGTGCACCCCTCTCTCCTGATGGCTGTGTGTGTGTGTGTCCGTCTGTCCCGTTATAGCCAGGCTCCTCGGAGGGAGCCTGTTTATTCCTCTTTCCACCCTCCACTGTGCTTTCTGTGCGTCCTAACCTCTTAAAAACAGCTGCTCTATGACGAAGTCAAATCCCTCAGACCACCCAGCCAGCGGAGTCAGGGCCAGCGCTAGAAGCACTGAGCTCTCCGAGTCACAGCTCAGGACCCCCTCCCAGCACCTCCCGGAGTAAAGCTTCCCGTACAGTCTGATGGACGGATGGCTGGGTGAGGATGCTACTCCTAGGTGCTCGCAGAGGTAACGTCTGGCCACAGCCACCACTGGGGGCGGGGCCTGCGACCCAGCCTGGGCCTCCAGAGCAGGGGGAGGTGTGGCCTCAGCAGCTTCCGAGGGTCCTTCTCTCCTCCCCCCCCCGCCCCCCCCCCCCCCCCCCGGAGACCTCAGCTGTCGGGGGCAGGGACGGGGCGTTGGGAAGTGAGGCAGCTGGAGGGAGGTCCAGTTCCACCTCTGCCCGCGCAGGGGGCCCTCCCAGCGTCTCCACACTTCGGAGCCTGGAATGTTTTGGAAACATTTACGGGGCAAGCGGGGGAGCCTGGAGGAGCAGAGTCCCTCACTCAGCCTGCTCTCCCCGGCAGAGGTCAGAGCATGCTCCCTGACCCAGCTCCCCTCGGGACGGGCTCCTTGTGTTTGTCTTCGCCCTGACTGTGGGTGGGCTGCTCTGTTCAGCACAGCTGTTTCTTCTCTCCGCACTGGGCCTCGTATTTTTCCTGAATGAGCAACTTTGGCTGACATCCTGAGACCACTCCTTCCCCTTAAAAAACTAACATCTCCCTTTTCGTTTGAAAAGAGAACATGACCACAGTGAAGAGCATTGAAAAAACATTA